TCCGGCAACGGACCGCAACCCTCAGTGTCGCGCCCGTACCGGACCGGGACCGGCAACGGGATCGCAACCCTCGGTGCTGCGCCCGCCCCTCGCTCAGCCAGTGAGCGGGAACTGGTCTGTATGAGGGATGCGAACCCTCGGTGGGAGCGCTGCCGCGCTCCCAAGTGGCGCACTGTAGCAGTGTGCCACTGGACCGGCCCTTTTTGGTGACTATTTTAAATGGGCTTACATTTTTTTTCTTTCTCTGTTAGTTTGTTATTGGAGTATTAAAATGCTCCTGATTTTTGCATGTTAATTTTATATCCTGAAATTTTACAGAAATTGTTTATCAGTTCTAAGAATTTTTTGGTAGAGTATTTAGGTTTTTCTATATATAGGATCATGTCATCTGCAAACAGGGATGGTTTTATTTCATCTTTTCTAGTGTGGATTTTCTTTATTTCTTTCTGTTGCCTGATCACTCTGGCAAGTACTTTCAATACTACGTTAAATAGGAGTGGTGAGAAAGGACATCCTTGTCTTGTTCCTGCCTTTATTCATTCATTCAGGATGATATTGGAAGTGGGTTTGTCATATATGGCTTTTATTGTGTTGAGATACTTTCTTTCTGTACCTAATTTGTTGAGAGTCTTTATCATGAAGGGCTATTGAATTTTGTCAAATACTTTTTCTCTCTCTATTGAGAAAATCATATGATGTTTGTCCTTGATTTTGTTGATGTGGTATTTGACATTTATTGACTTGCATATGGTGACCCATCCTTGCATCTCTAGGATTAATCCCACTTGATCATGGTGTGTAATTTTTTTGGTGTGTTGCTGTATTCTGATTGCTAATATTTCGTGGAGGAGTTTTGCATCTATGTTAATCAAAGATATTGGGCTGTACTTTTCTTTTTTTGTTGTATCTTTGCCTGGTTTTATTATCAGGGTGATGCTAGCCTCATAGAATGAGTTTGGGATAATGGCCTCTGTTTCAATTTTTTGGAATAGATTGAAGAGAATTGGTATTAATTCCTCTATATCATGGAATACTATTCTGCCATAAAAAAGGATGAAATTCTTGTATTTGGAACAACGTGGATGAGCTTGGAGAAACTTACATTGAGTGAAATAAGCAAAGCATAGAGGGATAAATACCACATGTCCTCACTCATAAGTGGAAGCTAAGAGAGAAAGAAGGACAGAAAGAAAGACCACAGTGGTGTGTTGGACTTGCAGAGGGAGAAAGCATGCTAAGGGATACAAAGTAGAGTTGGGGAAAGAGGGAGGTGGAGGGAAGCTGAGGATAATTGGGTGGGAGAGATGGGGTACAATTGCAATTTGTGGTAATGGGCATGCTGCCAGTATGGATCGGGCTTTCACATCTTGGACACAAGGAGTGACAATCAGCTTTGTATCTCATGAATATTCATTACCAATTTTTAGAAAAGGAACAGGTATAAAAAAGGTTTAGTAGAATTCAGTCATAAAAGCCATCAAGCATCTTTTCAGACCACAATGGATTAAAACTAGAAATCAATAACAAATGAAGCTCTGGAAACCATAGAAACACATGGAAATTAAACAACATGCTCCTGAATGACCCATGGGTCCTAGAAGAAATTAAACAGGAAGTCAAAGAATTTCCCCACACTGATGAAAATAAAGACACATCATATGAAAACCTGTGAGATATGACCAAAGCAGTAATGAGCCCCAATGAGTTTATTGCAATAAACACTTCTTACATCAAAAGAATAGAAAGTTTTAAAATTAACAACCTAACGCTACACCTCAAAGAACTAGAAAAACAAGAAAAATCCAACTCCAAAATTAGTAGATGGAAAAAAAATAATTAAGATCAGGGCTGAACTAAATGAAATAGAGACCCAAAAAAGATACAGAAGATCAATGAGATGAAGTTGTTTTTTTGAGAAAATAAACAAAACAGACAAACCATTAGCACGGCTAAATAAAAAAAGAAGAGACCCTAGTTATACTGGCTATAGTCAGAAAGATGGTGAATAACAAATGCTGGCGAGGGTGTGGAGAGAAGGGAACACTCCTACTCTGTTGGTGGGAGTGTAAATTAGTACAATCACTATGGAAAACAGTACAGAGGTTTCTCAAACAACTACAGGCAGATCTTCCATACGATCCAGCAATCCCACTTTGGGGTATATATCCAGAGGAATGGAAATCATCATGTTGAAGGGATACCTACACTCCCATGTTCATCGCAGCTGTATTTACAATAGACAAGATATGGAACCAACCTAAATGTCCACTGATGGATGATTGGATAAGGAAACTGTGGCATATATACACTATGGAATACTATTCTGCCATAACAAAGAATGAAATACTCCCATTTACAACAACATGGATGAACCTGGAGAAACTTATGTTGAGTGAAATAAGCAAAGCACAGAGGGATAAGTACCACATGTGCTCACTCATAAGTAGGAGCTAAGAGAGAAAAAAGGAAGGAAAGAAAGTCCACAGTAGTGCGGTGGTGTTACAGAGGGTGATATTCCTTGGGCTACAAAGTAGAGTGGGGGGAAGGGGGAGGGAGTTTGGGGGATAATTGTGTGGGGGACATGGGGGTATGAAAGTAATTTTTGGTAGTGGGTATGCTCCTAGTATCAATGTAGCCTTCACCTCATGGGCACATGGGGTGACAATTAGCTTTGTATCTCATGACTACTCATAATAGAAAGAAGAAGAAGAAGAAAGAAGAGGAAGAGGAGGAAAAGGAGGAAGAATAAGAATAAGAATAAGAATAAGAATAAGAATAAGAATGAAGAAGAAGAAGAAGAAGAAGAAGAAGAAGAAGAAGAAGAAGAAGAAGAAGAAGAAGAAGAAGAAGAAGAAGAAGAAGAAGAAGAAGAAGAAGAAGAAGAAGAAGAAGAAGAAGAAGAGGAAAGAAGAAAACAAAAATGAGAAATGAAAGAGGAGATATTACAACTGATACTACAGAAATATAAAGAATCATTAGAGGCTATTATAAACAACTATTCTCTAACAAATCTGAAAACCTGAAGGAAATGGATAAATTTCTGGACACATATAAATTATCAAGACTCAACCAAGAAGACATAGAATATCTGAACATACCAAAAACAAACAATGAGATTGAAGCGATAATCAGCAGTCTTCTAACAAAGAAAAGCCCAGGACTGGATGGCTTTACTGCTGAATTCTACTTTCTTATTATTTGTCTTATTTCACTTTTAAAACTCAAATTATTCATGATGGGAGTCAAGTCACATCAGAGTAAGGTGTGTGGCAAGAGTTTAGGTATGGGTAAGATTGAAGGCGTGGCCATCAGGGTTGGGAGAGGATTGAGGACTTGGTTGGAGATAGGATATGCTTAATAAATAGGTCTGAAGACCAGAGTACTGTAGGAATGTGGTCAGGCATAAGCCCTGGGTTAAAGACATCGGCAGGGATGGTGGGAAGGAATTATTCCAGATCCTATGTGGCCCATCTTTAAGTCCTAAGTTCAACTGAATTGGCCGTTTTACCTGGGAAGTTTGGAAATAGAAATTAGTATGAGGAGGCTATATCTGCTTTTCTGTTGCTGACAGACTTTTAAGGTTCCCTCTCTTCCTATCCCTTTCTTATGAGTACCTCTTGCAGCTTACTGTTGCTAAGGAAAGGTTCTCAAGGGCACCATTCTTATTTGCCTCTAGGAGCCCTGGATGGGAACTCCCCTCCTCAGAGGCAGGACGTGGACCATCATTTCTTCCTGCTCTTCAGTGTGGTAGATGAGAACCTTAGCTGGCATCTTGATGAGAACATTGCCTCTTACTGCTCAGACCCTGCCTCAGTGGACAAAGAAGATGAGGACTTTCAGGAGAGCAACAGGATGCACGGTTAGTTGGGAAGAGGTGGCCACATTATGACAGTGAATGCTAATGGAGGGTGTCCACCGAGCGTAGTATTTGGTGGTGCCTTCACACACCTGGTCCTTTAACAATCCTCACAAGGACTAGAAGTAGTAGGTGCCTTTTCTGTGTTTTATCTGTGAGGGCACTGAGTTTCCTAAGATTGTGCAGCAGATAAATGGCACAGGTAAAACTGATCTTTCTGACTGTGTAGGCTGTGCTCTTGCTACTAGGCTACTCTGCTTCATAATGTGGAATAGCACCCCCCATCATCAAAGTCACATTTTATATGCCCAGTCACTTTGGTGAGAGTTGCCCACTTATGTAATTAATTAACATTGCTTTGTTTTAAAAAGGATGCAAGCTTGAGAAATGATCCACTTCGTGGAGAGAAAATGGTTGCTTTAAAGTTACCTTGCTTATATTCTTCATTCCACTCTGAGTTTATGTCTATAAGGGAATCAACCATATTAATTAAACTGAAAACAAATTAAAGTCACAAAAGTCCTGAGGCATGAGTGTAGAACTGATTTTAGGAATAAAACAAGTTGACTTTGTTTTTGTTTAATTAAGGAAGTGATTTACTTACCTTTGGTCACAGAAGCGGGTTCAAAGGCAGACAGTCCTAAGGGGAGGGGAAAACTCAGTGGGAAGATGTAAACAATGGTTTGGAAAGCTCAAATTTATCTTGGGTTTTATACCAATTGATTATAATTACCATGTAAACTAGTCTGCTAGTTTTACAAATATCCTGTGGAAATTTTGTAAGGAAACCAGCCTGAAAGAAGAGAATAGCCTGCAAAATAACTCCATTCTCCAGAGTGCTTCCTCAGATTGCTGTTTTTTAATATTGGCTTTACCACTTAATAGCTTTGTGGCCTTTGGAGAGAAGTAACTTTACTTCTCTGAGCTCATGTTTTTGAATGAGAATGATATCTGCCTATTTTCCAGGGCTGTTTATTATTTTTAAATAATATAACACATATGGTCAGCACAGTATGCTCTTTCAAACCTTATGTAAATGCTATCTGTTATTATTGTCAGATGGTAAGTCTTCTCCCATTGGGTCTCCTTTCCTAACTCTGATATTCTCTTTGGGTTTTCTTTTGCAGCAATCAATGGCTTTGTCTTTGGGAACTTACCAGAGCTGAGCATGTGTGCACAGAAGCGTGTAGCCTGGCACTTGTTTGGCATGGGCAATGAAGTTGATGTTCACACAGCTTTCTTCCATGGACAGATGCTGACCACCCGTGGACACCGCACTGATGTGGCTCACATCTTTCCAGCCACTTTTGTGACTGCTGAGATGGTACCCCAGGAGCCTGGCACCTGGTTAATTAGCTGTCAAGTGAACAGTCACTTGCAAGGTAAGATTAAACATTTCTGATTCTTGGGATATAGGAGGGAAGTGTCAATAATACTCAACGGGAGGCCGGCCTTCTGGCCTGGAGCCATAAGATAGGTCTCCCAAATGAGACATCTTGGTATAAAGAACGAAACACTGGACTAGAAGTCAGGGATCCTAGAACCACTGTTTTCTGGCTGTGGGACCTTGGGCACATCTCTGTGGGTTTATTCTTCCTCATGTCAAGCATAAGTTGGCCTAGGGATGGATAGGTAGAATTTTAAGCTGCTTTTTTTCCCTCAAAATTCTAAGGAATTAAAACCTGGAGGTATTCAGCTGACTGGACAGGGAGTAAAGGAGAGATTAGTTAAAGGGGAGTAAGGTTTCTGCAGGCAATCATAGAGTGTTGTGGTTAAGTAGTGACACTTTAGTTGAGAACTAACAAAAGTAGGGATGAAAGGTTTTGCTTTCAGAGGAAGAATGGTCTATGTAATGGCATAGTGCAGTGAGGAGCATCAGAGGGAAGGAGGAACATATGAGGCAATAGAAAAAGCACTAGATAATTGATTAAAAGGTTTGAGTTGTAGTCTCTGTTCTGTGAAAAACTCACTGTATGACTTTGGGCAAGTCTCTTCCCATTTCTAGGCCTCATTTGCCACATCTGAAAAATAGGGGAATTGGTCTAAATAGTCTCTAAAATTCTCTTCATCTCTCACTTTCTAGAATTATTTGATCATTATGAATTAGGATGCTATCAGGAAAGTGATATGTGAGTATGTGAAAGTGGATTCAAGTAGGTGATGAATTATATACCGGGGTTGTAGGTTTGACCCAGTAGGGGCCTGGTACATGTGCTCCATAATCCAGAATCTGTTCTTAAACCCAAAGATAGCTGGGTAAGAGAGTATGAATATGGACTGGATTAGGGATAGAGTGCAATAGAGGGACTAGCATGGACCTTAGAGCCAGAAAAGCCTGGATTCAAGTCCTGATTCCTCCACTTGCTTAGCCACCTTTGGTAAGTCATGCCACTTCTCAGAACCTCTGTTTCCTTGTCTGTGGATGCCAATAATGATGCCTACCTCATAAATTTATAATGAGATGTCAGAGAAATAATGCGATTTTGAATCTTAGAGAGCAGGGGGATGATGTGACCAATATAATGGACATAAGAGAAGAAAATGAGCACTCAAGATCTGTAGTCAAAAGATGGGAGCTGGGAGCTTAAGTATGAACTCCACCACTGACTAGCTGGGCAATCTTGGACAAATTCCTTAACCTCTCTGATTCTTAATTTTCTTCACCTGCAAAATGGGACAGTAAAAGTCTATTTCATGGGGTGGTTGTGAATATTGATGAAGGTAACATATATAAAACCCTGGACACATGGCCTAACATATAATATATTTTCATCAAAAATGATTATTCTTTCATCCTCCTTTATTCCTCAGACATCTAGTTCACAAATTTCAAATATCTTTAGAATGGTGTAAGACTCAAATTAGATAATGTAGCTGAATGATCTCTATACGTTACTAAGGCAATATAAGACAGTGTCACTCATTAACATTATGCCTCGATGTAGTTTCTTCCACATTTGGAGACATTACTTAGAATCTACATTTTCCTGATAGTCCCATGTCTGAAGCTTAATCTCCATGTATAGAAAATGTTCCATTATTTTGGGAGCTTCCCAGTTTATAAATAACTTACCCCTCTTTTAATGCTCCCACTAGCCCTGTGAGGTGAATTTTCCTATTTTCCCTATTTACAAAAGAAGCTCAGATTGAGGATGTAACTTGCCTAAGGTCCTACAGATAGTTGTAATGCTTGGGCTTGAAGTCAGGTCTTCTCATTTCAGTCTCTGTGATGTTGCTACAAGGTGAGTCTTTTGCAGAGGCAGGAATGAGGATCTGGTAAATGTGCCAGTGGTGGTATTTAAGTACTTGAATTCTTACCTGGGCTTGTCTTCTACCAGCCGGGCTCTAGAGGAGTGACAAGAAGTGGCCCATTTTGGGGGAGCAGTAAAGAAACTAATGGAGGGTGGGAGGAGAAAACACTAGGAGAAGGAAGAAAGTAAGTCCTCTGGGTCAAAATTCTGTTGGGTAGAATGGGGACAGCCACGATGTTCTTCCTCCAGATGGCATGCAGGCACTCTACAAGGTCCAGTCTTGCTCCATGGCCCCTCCTGTGGACCTGCTTACAGGCAAAGTTCGGCAGTACTTCATTGAGGCTCATGAGATTCGATGGGATTATGGCCCAGTGGGGTATGATGGGAGTACTGGGAAGAGTTTAAGAGAGCCAGACAGGTAAGAAGCAGTGGGCTACCTCTCTCTACTCCTGAGCCCAGCCCCAAACACCTATTATCTCACTCCCAGAAATCTCTCACTTTGCTTGGGGGTCACAAACTTTATGGCTAGGATGATTAAGGACAGATGTAGGCTATGGAACTCTGGAGAGTAGAACTGGTCCCAATGTCTGGAACTTACAAACAAGGATATTCTAGCCTACTAAAAAGCACTCGAATAATTAAAACTATTCAATGGTAAGAGGGATTGCCTCCCCTGAAAATGAGTTCCCTATCTTTAGAAAGGCTGAAGCAGAAGATGTATATCACTTCCAAGTGGTGCCACCAGAGGAGATACCTTCGCTAGTGAGAGTTCACCTATGTGATCTCTGAAGTCTTCCTAACCATAAAGTTTCATAACTTTATAAGAATAAGGCATCTATTTGACACCCAATTAAATCATATGACGTTTCCCTCCTTATATGCCAGTGGCTCATACAAGTTCTTCCAGAAGAGTTCCAGCCGAATTGGGGGCACTTACTGGAAAGTCCGATATGAAGCCTTCCAAGATGAGACATTCCAGGAGAAGGTGCAGCTGGAGGAAGATAAGCATCTTGGAATCCTGGGTGAGAGATCTTTTACTTATGAAAGTCATTGACTAGAGTCAGAAAAGTGAGGAAGACTTAGAAACTGGAGTTTTGAGGTGGCTCAGGGGCACACTCTAGACCAGCATCTTGCAAAATGAGTATCAAGAGATGTGTATTGTGAAAAAGGGTTATGGGTCTGAATGTGCTTGATCGGCACTACGTTAAGCATAGGCAAATAGTGTTCTTTGCTGCAGGTCTTCTGAGAGCCTTGGATTTATTTTTGCTCATCATGAGTCTTCATGAGGCGAATAGAGTACATAGCATTTCTCATATGTTACTAATGAACCTTTTTTGATGAACATATTCCAGTACCACTGCTGTGCAGATCACACTTTTATAATTGCTTCTCTAGGGGTATACCTGAAGGGCTATATAACCTGGCAGTATGACTTTCTAGATTCTTGGCAATCTGGGGCCAAGAGTATGTTAGCATGGCATACAGATATGCTGCTATGGTGAGGGATGCACAACCAAGCTTGAGTCTGACCTTAGGGAAGGTATCCAGATGGTCTAAAGCACAAGATTCAAAGAGCATAGCAAAGGTAGATGTGGTCTGGTTACCTGGTGGAAATAAAAAATAAAACCAATCATATAGGTGAAAACTTGGGAAATGAAAGTAACATAATAGACTCTAGCGATAAGTGTCTGCCAGTTGATTATAGATCTGGAAATGAACAGTAGGTCCTACATCAGCTGGATAGGGAGATATATGGAAAGAGATATGATGGTGAGTATGAATGAGTTATCATTGGCTGGGGTTCACTATGGGTCCCCAGTTTTTGAGCGGAGGTGGACCATTAGGTATGGAAATTGAGTAGGAAACTGAGCTAGAAATTCTGACTAGGAATTAGAGCCTACATAAGTGCTCAGGGTACTTCCTTGGTACTTTTGGTTGGTCTCAAAGTTGACCCAAGCTAGGTTAGAGGTGGCGGGTAGTAAAGCACAGACAAATCTGGGAGTTGAGGTCAGAGTAACTAGCCCAGAGCCTGGATAGAGGGTATAATAATTCTCTTTGCTCAAAATTGGTTTAAGATTGAGGCAAGCTCAGATCTTAGTAGGTCTTACCAGGAGATATAGCTATGGAAGCTGGGGCAGTAAAGTTAGGGGAAATGTGATTCAACTTGACAGTGCGGTGGGAGAAATTCCTGGCTTTGGGTTCTGGCTCTGCAGATAATCAGCCACTTGAATTTGGGTAGGTCAATTTCACCTCTCTGAGCTAAAGTTTCCTCATCTGTAAAATGGAGGCAATAATCCCTGCCCTGTATGCCATAGAATGATGCTTGAGGATCAAAATGAAATGATGGATTTTATAGTGCTTTTTATAATTATGAATTATAGTATACTTAAAGTAGATTATTATTGCAAAAAGAAGAGAGTTCTCTATCTTTTTACTTTCACTTCCCTTTTCTGTTTCTCCCTCTCCTTCTGTTTTCTTCCTCCCTATTCATTCCTGTTTTCATTCTCCTTGTCTCTCCTCATTTTCCAGGGCCAGTGATCCGGGCTGAGGTAGGTGACACCATCCAGGTGATCTTCTACAACCGTGCCTCACAGCCATTCAGCATGCAGCCTCATGGTGTCTTTTATGAAAAAGACTACGAGGGCACTGTGTACAATGACGGTGAGCTGGCAGGGTTTCCAACAAATGTGGGCTGCAGCTGGTAGCAGGTTACTCTAGAGGACAGATAAATGGAGGGTGGAGAGGGAAAAGCAGGCATATTTGTTGCTAATGTGAACATTGTTGAATGAATGACAGGTATAATAGTGAGGCAGAGTAGGGCTCAGAAATAAGAGAAAACTTCTGAATATATTTTAAAATATTCTGATCATAAAAATATGTTTATTATGTGATTTTGAAAAACACAGAAAATTTTTAAATAAATAAATATAATTCGTAGAGTAATTACTATGTACAATTAAAAAGAATTTTTGGCAGCTGGCCAGTACAGGGATCTGAATCCTTGACTGCTATGTACATTTTGATATACCTTTTAATATTTTTCTAAGCTTATAAAATGTGTATATTTATAGATAAGAGATTATTTGTTTTCTTTGTTGTTTTCTTTTATTCTATTATTATTATTTATTTTATTATTGAAAAACCATTGATTATATATATTTGTGGGGTAGTCATGACTATCAATACCTGTATAAAATACCTGTGATAATCAAATCAGGATAGTTAGTGTGTTCATCATTACAAAACGGAATCATTCCTTGTGTCTACTAACCAATTTCTCACTAACTTCTCTCCACCTTGTTCTTTTGCACAGTTCTCTTCTCTCCTTCTGAAAGTTAAGCACATTATTGTGACCTTTTTTCTTTCTCTTTCTTTCGCTCCTGGTTATGAATGAGGACATGTGGTATTTCTCTTTCTGTGCCTGACTTGTTTCACTTAACATAATTTTCTCCAAGCTCATCTATGTTGCTGCAAATAGCAGAATTTCATTCTTTTCTATGGCTGAGTAGTATTCCATTGTGTATATATATCACGTTTTCCTTATCCAGTTGTCTGTTGATGGATATTTAGTTTGATTCCCTATCTTGGCTATTATAAATTGAGCTGTGACAAGCATGGGAGTGCAGGTATCCCTTGGACATGATTTTCATTCCTTTGGGTATATAGCAATTAGTGGGATTGCAGGATCGTACGGCAGTTCTATCTGTAGTTGTTTGAGAAACCTCCATACTGTTTTCCGTAATGGCTGTACTAATTTACAGTCCCACCAACAGTGTGTAAGGGTTCCCCTTTCTCCACAACCTCAGCAGCATTTGTTATTTTCTGTCTTTTGGACAATAGCCAGTCTAACTGGGGTAAGATGATATCTCAGTGTGGTTTTGATTTGAATTTCCCTGATGATTAATGATATTGATCATTTTTTCATATACTTGTTGGCCATTTGTATGACTTCTTTTGACAAATGTCTATTCAGCTCCTTTGTCCATTTTTAATTAATTAATTTATTTTTACTTTTGAGTTGTTTGAGTTCCTTGTATACTCTGGATATTAATCACTTGCTGAATGCATGGTTTGCAAACATTTTCTCCTATACTTTGGGTTGTGTTTTTGCTCTGTTAATTGTTTCTTTTGCTGTGCAGAAGCTTTTTAGTTTTATGTAATCCCATTTGTTAATTTTTTCTTTTTTTGCCTATATTTTTAAGGTCTTATTCATAAAGCTTTTGCCCAGTCCCACATTCTGAAGTGTTTGTTTCTCCTATGTTTTACTCCAGGGTTTTTATAGTTTCATGTCTTATATTTAAGTCTTTAAACCATTTTGAGTTGATTTTGGTATATGGCAAGAGGTACAGGTCTTGTTTCACTGTTCTACACACAGATATCCAGTTATCCCATAATCATTTCTTGAGGAGGCTCTCCTTTCCCAATGTATGTTCTTGGTGCCTTTGTTGAAGATGAGTTGGCTGTTAGTATGTTGGTTAATTTCTGGGTTCTCTATTGTGTTCCATTCATCCATGTGTCTCTTTTTGTTCCAGTACCATGCTGTTTTAGTTATTATAACTTTGTAGTACAATTTGAAGTCAGGTAATGTAATACCTCCAGCTTTATTCTTTATTATTTTTTTTGTCAGGATTGCTTTGGCTATCTGGGGTCTTTTGTTGTTCCATATGAATGTTAGGATTGCTTTTTCTATTTCTGTGAAGAATGTCATTGGAATTTTGATGGGAATTTCATTTATTCTATAGATCGCTTTGGGTAGTATGGACATATTCACAATGTTAATTATTCCAATCCATGAACATGGAATGTCTTTCCATCCTTTAGTGTCCTCCTTAATTTTTTTCAGCAGTGTTTTGCAGTTCTCATTGTAGAGAACTTTCACATCTTTGGTTAAATTTATCCCTAGGTATGTTATTCTTTTGGTAGTAATTTTACACGGGCTTGCTTTCTTGATTTCTTTTTCTGCTAGTTCATTGTTGGTGTATAAAAATGCTACTGGCTTTTGTGTATTAATTTTGCATCTTGCAACTTTACTGAATTAGTTTATCAGCTCTAGGAATCCATGGGCCTTTCAGGGTGGGCACATGCAAATGTGGGGCACTGCCACACCTTGGAAACTTTTCTTCTCAGCTGACCTGCCTGCTTGCCTGGGAGGGGAGGGGTGCTGCATGGGTTCAGATGCTGGGGTCTCTGTCTTTCTGTCTGTCCTAGGCTCTAGAATGTAGGTAGAGTTTTTAAGGTTTTCATGTCTTCTGTGAAAAGGGATAGTTTGACTTCATCTTTTTCAACATTGATGCACTTTCTGTCTTTCTCTTGCCTGATTGCTCTGGCAAGTACTTCCAATACTATGTTGAATAGAAGTGGTGAGAATGCATCCTTGTCATGTTCCTGTTCTTAAAGAAAATGATTTCAGCTTTTCTCCATTCAGGATGATGTCAGAAATGGGTTTGCTATATATGGCTTTAATTGTGTTGAGGTACTTTCCTTCTATATCTAATTTGTTGAAAGTGTTTATCAAGAAGGGAGGTTGAATTTTCTGCATTTACTGAAATAATCATATAGTTTTTGTCCTTGATTTTGTTGATCAATTTTATTGATTTGCAAATGTTGAACCATCCTTACATCTCTTGGATGAAACCCACTTAATCATGGTGTATAATATTTTGGATGTGCTCTTATATTCTGCTTGCTAATATTTTGTTGAGGATTTTTGTGTCTATGTTCTTCAGAGATATTGGTCTGTAGTTTTCCTTGTTTTTTGTATCTTTGGTTTTGGTATCAGGGTAATGCTGGCTTCATAGAATGAGTTTGGGAGAATTTCCACTGTTTCAATTTTTCAGAATAGTTTGAAAAGGACTACTGTCACTACTGTCGCCACGGTGAGAGGAGTGGATGCGATGGCCAGGCCGGCGTGGATCTCTAAGGTCTCTCGGCTGCTGGGGGCATTTCACAACCCGAAACAGGTGACCAGAGGTTTTGCTGGTGGTGTTAAGACAGTAACTTTAATTCTAGAAGATGGTATTGGCCCAGAAATTTCAGCTTCAGTTATGAAGATTTTTGATGCTGCAAAACTTTATTGAGATATAATTCACATACCATACAATTCGCCCATTTAAAGTGAACAGTTCACAAGAAGAGGAACATTTGATGGAAGAAAAGAAAAAGAAAAAGCAGGAAGAAAAGAAAAAGAAGGAAGGTGCTCAGAAAAAGGCTGCTGATCAAAAAACCAAAGTCACCAGAAACCCAACTCCTCGAGTCAGGAGTTGGAAGCCCAACACGGAGCCGGAGCAGCATCTGTGAAGCGCCTGGGCTCTGCTGAGACCGCCGTGCCGCTTCCTCTTTGCCGTGGCTACAGCCGCTGCCACTGTCACCAGAGGAGTGGCCATCTATTGTCTTTCCCCATGGCGAAAGTGCGGAGCTGCTCCGGCTTGGCCTGCGGGGGAGCCCCGGGAGCCACAGGGAAGTTCCATGGTGGTCTGGGTAACCTGGCCACAATGAATAAACATCAAAGAAAAGACACCAGAAATACAAAAAAATCAAAAAAGTACACCACCCAAAGATAATAAATCTCAAGCTCTAGACACAATAGAAGCCCTTGAAATGACTGACAAGGAATTTCGAGTGATAATTCTAAGGAAACTGAGTGATATACAAGAAAACTCAGCTAGATATCATGAGGAAATGAGGAAAAGTATACAGGACCTGAAAGAGGAAATGTACAAGGAAATCAATGCCCTGAAAAAAAATGTAGCAGAACTTGCCGAACTGAAGAAGTTATTCAGCGAAATAAAAAGCAAAATGGAGAGTTTAACCAGCCGGCTTGTCGAAGTTGAAGAGAGAACCTCTGAACTTGAAGATGGGCTGTTTGAAATAACACAAGCAGACAAAAAAAAAGAAAAAAGAATCAAAGGCATTGAAGAAAATCTGAGAGAGATATCAGACAACCTTAAGTGCTCAAATATCCGAGTCATGGGTATCCCAGAAGGGGAGGAAAAAGGAGATTGCATTGAAAACATATTCAATAAAAAAGTGGCAGAAAATTTCCCAGATATAGGAAAAATCAAAGATGTTCAGATCCAGGAAGCTCAACGATCTCCAAACGTATTCAACCCAAAAAGGTCCTCTCCAAGACATGTTATAGTCAAATTGGCAAAATTCAAAGACAAAGAGAGAACCTTAAGAGCTGCAAGAGAGAAGTGTCAAATTACCTATAAGGAAGCCCCAATCAGGCTAACATCAGACTTTTCATTACAAACCCTAAAAGCCAGAAAGGAATGGGAGGATATATTCAAAATACTAAAAGACAGAGATTGTCTGCCAAGAATACTCTACCTTGCAAGGCTATCCTTCCAAAATGAAGGGCAAATAGTATATTTCTCAGACAAACAAAAACTGTGGGAGTTTACCACCACACAACCACCCTTACAAGAAATTCTCAAGGGAGTAGTGGGCTTGGTTCCTGAAAAATAACCACCACTCCCATAAAAACCCAAGAAAAATCTAAACCCACTAGTATAATAAAAATGGCATACATGAAGAGAATACAGACAAACAAAAAGGCAATCTACATCCTAAGGAAGCCACAAACACAGAAAACAAACAGTAAAAAAGAAAGCAAGGAAGAAAAGACACCTAAGACAAGCAAACAACAATCAATAAAATGCTAGGAATAAATCAACACTTGTCAATAACAACTCTTAATGTAAAAGGCTTAAATTCCCCAATCAAAAGACACAGACTGGCTGACTCGGTTAAAAAGGAGGACCCAACTATATGCTTCCTTCAAGAGACCCACCTCACCCATAAAGACTCACGTAGACTAAGAGTGAAGGGATGGAAAAAGATTTACCATGCAAACAGAAAAGAAATACGAGTTGGAGTAGCTATTCTTATATCTGACAAAGTAGACTTTAAACTAAAAACCATAAAAAGAGATAATGAGGGACACTACATAATGATAAAAGTACTGATGCATCAAGAAGACATAACAATCATAAATATGTA